TCCCTTGGGAATAGTTTTAGATGAAATAGGATAGGTTTTCAAAAAAAAAGAGGCAACGAAGTTCTTCAGAAGCAATCTGTTAGGACAGTGATCACTCTCAGAACAGTTGTCAATACGGAATTGGAAAACTGAAGAAGATAACTTTCTTGGTATGACAGTCAATCAGGGAGGGCCCTGTGTCTGCCCAATGTGAGAATTCTGCTGGGTAGTTGATAATAATGGTGCTATGCAGAATTTGCAAACCAATGTATAAAATGTCTATAGCATTTTTAAGCCCCATCTTCAGTGTGGTCTTTAGATTGTCTAATTAGGAGTGGAGGTAGGGGGGACAATCTGCAAATTAGGTGAAAATTTGGAAAATTTGGCAAAAGGTGATTATCATTTGAGCCTAGTTTGGCACTGAAATCTCCTGCAGTGATGATGTGACCAGTGGGAAAGTGTAATTGAATAGCATTGATGTAATGTTCCACTTTTCCCCAAATTTCCACAATACATGATTGAGAGATGTTGGGAAGCATGTAGAAATTAATGAGAAGCTATTTCCAGAAAAGTTGAGAATAGCTGTTTGTGGAAGGCTCTCAAATGAGTCTAAGATAGCATAATCTTAGTGTTTAGAGTAGCTGAGACGTTTCCCTCCTCTGATGCCAGGAACTGCTGAGAGAGATCATGATTTATATCCCTCAAAAAAGATAGAATTCATTAACCACGTCTCCTGGAACATAAGGATGTTGAATTGGCATACATAGCTTATAAAAGCAAGGTCTCTGTTTCTGGCTTCCCATCCAGCATTGTTCCAAGAGAGCAAGGGTAGTGATTCTGGCGCAAAGAACTTCCTTTGCTGTCCTAGAGGGTGACTGGGATGTATTGAGGTCTAGGGATGAATGATATGGCTCATGCAATTAGTCCAAAGATGAAATGAGATCCAAAGTTCCTTCAATATGTAGGAAGACATATTGGTTGTAATTTGGGCATGGTTTTGCCATTCTCATGCTGCTGTATAGAGTTTGTGGCGGTTTGCGCTTGGTGATCGTTAGCAAATTATTGTTTCGTGTTAGTATAATTCATTGGAGTGGTTAGTTCTGCCCCAGCAATGTTCTTTTTCCTGCCTCAGGGGCTGCCATTATCATGATTTCATGTGATTCTTGGGGCAAAAGTTTGCCTGGAAGACTAGAACTTGTGGCAGTTATTGGGTATGTTAAGATGCAAATACCCGTGTCATGTTCCTGGTGCAGCCACCATCTGACTCAGGTTGTGGTTCCCAGGGTTTTAGGCAATCAAATCCTTCCTGTTAACTGTCAGCAACATCCAGCTTTTTATTCTTTGAAGTTTCTAGATGTTATGCTACTTCCGTAGGGGGCAGGGTGGAGGGATTTAGACCTGCTCCAGGGGCTCTATGTTGATATCCACCTATCTAGATTCCATAGGACTGAGGAGGGGGACCAACAGATGTTCTCTCAAAGCGATGGCAACTGTCTTGCGTTGTTGGTAAAACCAAATCAACAAGAGTACTGGCTACTTCGTGTGTTGCCACTGGAGTTTCTCTCAAATTGTCCAGTCTTTTAATATCAGCTTTTTCCAAACCTGGCAGGGCACTAAAAGAGTTAATAAGATTTCCCCCCCCCCCCCCCGAAAATTGCCTGTGCACAGTCTTGCTTTAGATAAAGAAGACTTTTTGCGTGGGCAATCATCTCTCAGGACAGAATTGGTAAGGTGTCCTTGAGATTAAATGAAGTTGAGTGGTCACATTTATTCTTTAAAGTGGTAATATTCTCATGGCCAGATTGGCTTAGGAGTGGGCTGAGTTCCTCTGAGCAGAACACATATTGTAGAAAATTGGAAACGAAGCAGAAAAGTCTTCATTTTAAACAACATACTGGGAACTGTAAGTAAAAATTGCTCTCTGCTTCTACTAGATGGATACCACTCAGCCTGTTGTAAATCAATCTGCTGTTATTTAATATTTATTAGGTGATCTGTTTAGACCAGGGGTCTTCAAACTTGACAGCTTTAAGACTTGTGGACTTCAACTCCCAGAATTCCTCCTCCAGTCATGTTAGCTCAGGAATTCTGGGAGTTGAAATCCACAAGTCTTAAACTTGCCAAGAGGTTTAGACTATATAGATGGTACTTACAAATTTAATGTCTCTCTTCTTTGGTTACATGCCCACTGGAGGTTTGTTTCTCATCCTTTCCCAGAGGAGTGGTCAGCTCACTTGCACTGTTGCTCTTTTTTTCCTAGGTGTAAAGGTAAGGTTGCCCATTGGCTTCTCTATTGGCTGTTTTTGTGAGAAACTTAATAGAGGAGATTCATGCTTTCAGCGGTTTAAACTGGCAGCCTGCGGGCTGGATGAGTCCGCGAAAGGAAAAACTTCATGAGATGTCACATGATGGCAAAGTGACGCCATGAGTTTGACACCCGTGCTTTAGCTAGTTGTCATTTGGCTGGTTTTACAAAGGCTTGTTTCAAGGAGTCCACTTTGATTTTAAGTGTTAACCAACAAGTCGAAGATAGAACCATTTGAGCCTGCCAGAAGACTTTGCTTGCTTAGAAAGTCAGTTACATTTTTGTTCTTTAAGTATGTCAGGTGAGTATTCACACCCTCATCCTGTAATAACTATGCAGCTTCAGAGCAGATTGCATCAGTGCGTTTGATGGAGCGGGGAGAGGTCTCTTGCACTGAAGAGGAGAGATCTGTAAGCTGTTGACTTTCAATCTCTGCTTGCAAATTCCACTCTAAAGCATTTAGTATTTTTAGTATTTATTTGATTTGTCAATCGCTTACAAGATACAGGTATAAGAATAAATATAGTTTTGAATACATGAGATAGATACTTATAAGAAAAATAAAAAACAATAGGACAGGGATGGTAGGCACGATTGGTGTGCTTATGCACAGGCCCACAGGCCTCTTAGGAAGGGGGTGAGGTCAATAGTAGACAGTCTAAGGTTAAAGTTTTTGGGGTTTGGGGAAGAAACCACAGACTCAGGTAGGGTATTCCAAACATTGACCACTCTGTTGCTGAAGTTGTATTTTCTGCAGTCAAGTTTGGTGTGGTTAACCTTGAGTTTGTATCTATTGTGTGCTCTTGTATTGTTATGATTGAAGCTATTCATTTGCAGATAGGACATTGCAATGTATGATTTTATATACTATATTTAGATCGGCCCGGAGGCAGCGTAGTTCTAGGTTTTCTAGGTCTAGAGTTTCAAGTCTGGTGGCATAAGGTATTCTGCAACGAGTAGAGGAGTGGAGAACTCTTCTTGTGAAATATTTCTGGATTTTTTCAATTGTGTTAATATCAGATACAAGATATGGATTCCAGACTGATGAGCTATATTCAAGTATTGGTATAGCAAATGTTTTGTATGCTCTAGTTAGTAGTGTGATATTACCAGAGAAGAAGCTATGTAGGATTAGATTAACAACTCTTAATGCCTTTTTGGTTTTGTAGTTACAATGTGCTCTAGCACTTAGATCATTTGAGATGAGTACTCCAAGGTCCTTGACAAAGTTTGGATCCTCAATAAGGTCTTGACTATTTAGCTTGTATTTTATTTTCTGATTTTTTCTGCTAATACGTAAGACAGAGCATTTATTTGTTGAGATTTGAAGTTGCCATTTGATTGACCATTCTGATACATAGTCAAGGTCTTTTTGGAGGGTAGTAATATTGTCTGTGGTGTTGAATAGCTTTACATCATCAGTGAAGAGAACGCAGTTGCTCTTATCCAACAGGGGAATTTGAGGGAGTAAGAATACCTAGAGGAGCTGGCTGCCTGCCCATTAGGTAACTATCAACTTTCAACCGTTTTGTCAGCTTGGCTCTAGCTTGCCTTCCAGAATGTGTACAATATCTCTTCCTTCTTTTCCCCATGAGGTTCACTAATGTCCTGGAGTTTTGTCAACTCTTTTTAAAAGTTGAGGCTTCCCTTAAAGTAGCAGAAGTGTGGCATTTACAACAATAGATTGAAAAATATGGTGATAAAGAGATATTTTTCCAGAAAAGCTCCCTGCCATCTCAGCTTCTCCCTCATGGGTAAGGAGTGATCCAGCCCTCAAGTCAAAAGAGTGAAAGAAGCATTTGAGGTTTATAAGAGATGGCAAGCTGGCTGGAGATTGTTGCATTTGGAAGGCATTACATCTGAAAAGTGCTAAGTCGGAGGAAGTTCTAGCATCTGATGGCTACTCAGGCACTGAGAGTTTGTCTCTGTTTAAAAAGTCAAAATATTTCGCCATTGTGATATAAAAACTCAACTCCTCCTGCTACACATGTTTTTAATTAGGATTTGGCAAGGGAGTTTCAATGAATAGAGGCAGAGTGATCCTTTTTGCTGTGATGATTTTTTTAGGCACAAGAAGCTGCATTTCCCGTTTGACGGTGGAAATTAAAATATTTATCTCTTCAGCTCTGCAGCTAATTGAACTGTGCTAAGGAAAGGCTCATATGCAGTCTTGTAGTAGGTGAGGAATTTCTGTTGTGAAACAAGCAATGTGGGTAGTTCTCAACTTACAGCCACAATTGAGTCCAAAATTTCTGTTGCTAAGCAAGACAGTTGTTAAGTGAGTTTTGGCCCATTTTATGACTTTCTTACCACTGTTGTTAAGTGAATCACTGCAGTTGTTAAGTTAGTAACATGCCTGTTAAGTGAATCTGGCTTCCCCATCAGAAGGTCACAAAAGTTGATGACACGACCCCTGCAACTATCATAAATACATGCAGGTTACTTAGCATCCAAATTTTGATCATGTAACCATGGGGAATGCTGCAGTAGTTGTAATGATAAAAAATGGTCATAAGTCACTTTTTTCAGTGCTGTTGTAACCTTGAACGGTCATTAATCAAATGGTTGTAAGTCAAGGACTACCTATAATTATCAAAGTCATTTGTGAAACAGGCTGAGGAGTTTATTTTCAATATGGGGCAAAATCTAAACTGAGCAGGACAAGCTGAACAAAGTTGGCGTTCATAAAATCAGTGACCTCTGGTTTCTTCGGCAGCAAAGGGAGTGTATACATTGGGGGATGCATCACCCTGGAAACTAAAGTACTGAAGAAGATGAAAAGGTGTTTCGAAGGTATCGGGCTGCAATGCTTTCTTAAGGTGAGCACTATTCTCAGAAAACTTGGGGTAGAAAAGAAAAACCTCAGAATCATCGGCTACTGTATTGATGTGCTATGAAATAACATGCTGTGGAACAGGGGGTCCAGAGGCTCTGTGTTCAGTTTAACTACATACCCTTGCCACTCAAAAGCTATAGGCCACACCTCTTCATTGATTAGACCTCATCAACCAATGGGAAGCAGCAGAGGTAAGAAAATGAAGAGGGACATATCTGGAGGTGATGTGGAAGGCACAGCCTATCTGGCGAGTCATCAAAATTCCACCTACATCGGGCTGAAAATGTTTGTTGAACTATTGCAAACGCAAAACCTTCTTCTAAAATTAAACTGAAACTTCAACATCTCAGGCAACCCATATTCAATATCAGTGCAAATAACCATTTAAAGCTACCCATTATCCTTTCCTCCAATCCTCCATGTATTCCAAAATTCCCCAGTATCCTATCATTGCCTCTTTGTTACAAGCAAGAATCCCAAGGACATAAATTGCCTTGATCAGGAAAGGATGTGACCAGGATTAAACGAAACTTAAATACTGAACCCCTGTGCTGAGTACTTAAGCCTCTTAAGGTCAAGACCTGAAGATACATGAGGAGAAAACAAAATGTCCCACTTGGACTTAGAGGGGGCACAAAACAGTAATAGGCAATGATGAACTAGTTCACTTGGAATTGCTTGCAATCTCAGTTTTATTACAACAGAGCTAAGTGACTTCATCATCAATGTGAAAATTATTAATGATAACAGACCTTAATGGCATTGGACAGGGAGATTAAAAATCATTTCATTTTCAAGAGGTTGTAAGGCACCAAAGTTCCTGGTTCTTGTGAATGCAAACACCTCAAAGCATTCTAATCTTTTCAGGGAATAAGGTTATAAAATAGAATGTATAAGTAGCAAATTCCATAATTTTGTCACCGTTCCTTCTTTTTGAAGTCTTGAAGCAAGACTAAAAAAAGGGGGCATATAAAAAATAGAATTTCAGTTATTTCTAAGCATAGTCATACATTCTTTGCTTTGGTTAGGGCCAAATAGAGATATCATCTATTTGTGCATGAAAAGGATCTTCTGCTATGGATGCACCTGCCTATGTACTCAACATCTCATCCTTTGCCTGCTGTTTGTGGCACCTCAGAACATCTTCAGATAGTTCATGCTTCAGGTAGGAAGTGGAGGGTGCACCAAAGTTGGAGCCAAAAATATGCAGATTTTTTTTTTTTGAACACTGTTTTGCCATTAAGGGGAGAACATTCAGTTCTTACGTTTGCTGGAAGTGGCTTTGTAACAGTCATGGAACCAGGGAGATGTATGGATGTCAATTCCCAGAACTCTCAGGAATGGCTGTGTTGACTGGGAAGTTCTTGGAGTTGTCAAGATATGGAAGGGAATCAAGTTGGGCATGGGCTGCATTATAAGAAGGGCAAAGCAACGGAAACACTGTAGTTGGCTTTCCATTAACCAAACCTCTTTTTGTTGCAGGATGGGCCAATGGCGGCCACACAAAGCCAAAAGTACCTCCTGGTCTTTGACTTTGATGAGACCATTGTAAATGAGAATAGTGATGATTCTGTCGTCCAGGCTTCTCCTGAGAAAAAGCTGCCAGAATCCATACGCCAAACCTTCCGGGAAGGCTTCTACAATGAATACATGCAGCGGGTTTTGAAATATCTGGGGGATCAAGGGGTAAAGATGGCCGACTTCAAAGCAGCCTATGAAAAGATTCCCTACTCTCCTGGCATGCAGGAGCTCTTCCGGTTCCTCTCTAAGCACCAGAACCACTTTGAGATCATCCTCATCTCTGATGCCAACATGTTTGGCATTGAATGTTCTTTGAAGGCTGCAGGAGTTTACTCCCTCTTCCGTAAAATATTCAGTAACCCTTCTAGCTTTGACAAGACAGGCTACTTCATCTTGGGCCCTTACCATTCACACAATTGCCCTCGGTGCCCTTCAAATATGTGCAAACAGAAGATCCTGATTGAATACCTGGAAGAAAGAGCTCGGGAAGGAAACAAATTTGAGAGAATCTTCTATGTGGGAGATGGAGCCAATGACTTCTGCCCTTCCGTGGCAATGAAGTCCAGCGATGTTGCCTTCCCAAGGAAGGGCTATCCCATGCACCAGCTCATCCAGGAGATGGAGAAAAACCAGCCCAGGGCTTACCAGGCTACTGTAGTCCCTTGGGACTCTGCCATAGTGGTTTGTTCCCACCTTCAAGAAGTTCTCAAGGAATCATCCTGAGGGGAAAACTTGGCAGAAGCGGCAATTCTCCTTGATTTACCTGTCATACAGCATGGAAAGATCTCAGCAATTAACCTTGCACTGCCTCATGCTTGGCTTCTGCTCTTGTTTCCCCCCTCTCCCCTTTCTCTCATTGTGCACAGTCTGTCTCTGGATCGCCCCTTCTTTTGATCTCGAGATAAGGGCTCTCTATGCAGTTTTGGCAATCCATTCCTGGAAGGGTGGGTGGGTTGCCTGCCGCCTCATATGCTTTGCTTGCCTATGCAGAAAATGCTGTTGCATTTCTTAAAAATTGCTTGCCCATTTTGGGGATACAGAAAAGGTGTATCTCCGCTACCAAAGCATATAAAAGCAGACATGGGTCCTGGCTCTTTGAAGATGACAATAAAATCATCTGCTGTAGATCTAAATGGAGCAGAATTATGTGTCTGCCAAGTCAGGTTTCGTTTAATCTATGATTTATCCACTCAGCCAGGTTCGGCTAAGTTCATATACTATTAAGCTATAAACCATGGTTCACAAACCACAGTGGCTGGATTCACACATCAAAATAAATTATTGTGTAATGTAAGATAAATGGTTATCTACATCTTCAAAAAAATATGCCTAAAAGGAAAAAAAAATGCTAAAAGGTAATTTAAATGTGTCATTGTTGCTGGGCATAACATAATCATCTAATTCAGTGATCCCCAACTTTTTACACCGCGGCCCGGTATCCCCAACCTTTTTTATGGCGCGGCCCGGTACCGACATCAGCTGGGCGCCGCCATCTTGTTTTGATGAAAAAGTGCTTCCGGTGAGCTTTCTACCCAGAAAAGCTCACCGGAAGCACTTTTTCATCAAAACAAGATGGCGGCGCCC